CTTCGTCGGAGCCTGTAAGTCGAAACTATACTTGTGATTCGTAGGCCACCATTTCAAATTACAAGAAGAGAACTCTAAAGGTCCTCATGTTGGTCGTCGGAACAATCCTGGTGGGGGCTTATACTTGAATGATAGAAACGCTGATGTCCTCGGTCAAAGTCGCAGTCAGGATGCCAAATTGATGACTGTAAAATGTGACACTCGTATCTTTCTTTGCAAACTCGGGTGCCGCTATAAAGCCAACTCCTCCTGTGTTGTTCCTGTCTCACGAGCGCCGAGAAAAACCGCAGTTCCATCACTCCATGTACACGTCAAAGGCTCTTTCCGTTTCGTTTCACTCAGTCCAATCACATGATATGAAATTCGTTGTGATTCTTCAATCAAGGTTGAGAGCTGAATGGCCGTACTGACACTCCTGCAGTTATAAGTGCATGTGATCAGGTGGCTCATTCTTGTCCTTTTCCTATGGTAGCCTACGGCCCGAGATTTCTTCGCCATTGACTGTGTGCTGATCCAGCGCTACCGGACTGGGCAGGGACAGTCTGCAGGGGACTAAGGCGAGTGGCAGAAGTGGTCGTAGCGTTTTTCGTCTCACAGGATAGCCTTGCTGGGACATTCCTGTTGCTTAAGGAGGGCGCCGTCCCACCATGAGCTTGAGCACTTTGGGTTCTTTGGTCACGAGAGCCGGTCAGAGGGTTCGGCGGGCCTTTCCCTTGCGGGATCCCGGTCTCGCCTCAAGCCCGTACACCGCGACAAGGTAGAACCCATGTACGGGATGTTATTGATTACACATCTAAAATCCGAAATAATCTAAGCTAGGCTCCAACCCAGTGCTGATCTCAAAATGCAAATAAGCTGCACATGTTGTGTTGTTGTTGTTGTGTTTAATCCCTCTTACTATGAATGGGGAATACGCGCAACACAATCACAGATGTCTCTCTGTCTTAATAATCACTTGATAACTGGGATAATATTAAGGAAATGGAGAATATCGAGCTGACGGATCGGCTACACACCTTACAGGAAAAATACGACAGGGCAGAAACTCATAGAAATCGATTACAAGAGGACATGGAGAAGTTTGAGGAGAAGTATCTCGCCGAGCAAAGGCAGAAAGATGATTTGGCTAAAGGTATTTCGGATCAAAACAACGCATAATCACTATGTGGCCTGATAATCAGTTCGTATGAAAAGATTAGATTCATTAAGCAGAACTACAATTAATTTTGATCCCATTTTTACTTTCGTGCCTTTGGGAATTTTTCGAGACAGGCTAATTTTTTGTGGGTTTTCCCTTTCTCTCATCAAAATCAAGTCAATCAATTCTTTGATTTTGTATGCAGCTGAACACGATCCTTCCTATAAAAATTCACATTTAGCGAACAAAAAGCTAGAAAATCACTTGAAAACGATCCAGCAACAACTTACTCTGCTCCAACACGAAAAGCACTCGCTCGATCTTGATTCGAAACGGTAAGCATTTACTACCACTAACTGAATAGCCATGGAATTCCGGCAAGGCTTCATTGCGTTGACGGCGCACTGTCCACGTTTGATTCTCATATCCGACTCAATCTAGCTGTAAATCAGTTTCTTCCGTTGACTACTTTCTGAAAGGCATGCTCTCGTTTTTATCTTTTCCTCCAGGAAAAGTTCAGCAGCTTCTCGAATGGCTACGATGCTTCTGGGGAATTTCACTGGGGTACACTGGTTGAAGAGCCAAAGCTGAAAGGCGCAGTCAACGACAGGGGGGGGGTTCTCATTGGTTGATCTCCTACTAGTTTTTCTTCCCGTCTGTGCCCCCAAGATATAAAAGAGGCACATGAGCCGTTGCTGAGTAGAAAAAGGCCTAGGTAGAGAGCAACAAGCATATTATGTAGCATTGTAAAGGCTGCACCAGAATAGAGAGCTTTTTGAAAATTCAAACAAGTCATCGTCCCTGACCCACGGTGATAGCAGAATGCAATTTTCGATTGCAGGAGTATTGCACCAGTCCTTTACTCAACTGCGTAGACTGAAATCTTACTCAAACCCAACTTCCATCTATGTCAAATTCCTATACTACCCCCGGACTCGACTAATTTCAATAGCCCTTGTGTATTCCTCGTCCTGACAAGGAAAGGATGTCAAGTTGAAGTGGTCATTCGAAATGAGACCTATACTATAGGCATTTGCGGATGTGATTTCGAATCTGCTTTCCAAATTAGCAGAGCGATTGTTTGAAGGAAGAAGGTGGTTTTAGGTAAAAGCCTAACACTAACGAGCACTTAACACATGGAAGTAAGGGCGCTGGCAGCGGGGATTTGGAGCAGTGGTAAGCCTGACGCTTCATAGGCATGACCTAATAGATCGGGATGTGTGAAGGATGTGGTTTTTACATTTTGCGACTCATTCTCCTCGAACAAGGGAAAACCACTCTTACATGCTGATTTTACCGCCCTTGGAAGTCTTTTTGATGCCTGAGGTGATTCGCTTCCTACCTAAACTGTACAGTATCACTGCTAACTCATTGCATACCCATGTACATCACTTTCTCTGTGCGATCTCTGAAGAAAAGGCACACACTGCAATTCTCAAACTCAAGGGGCTCGAATAGAGGCAAAGGGGTCGTGCACTGAGTCTCTGCTAGGAGCTGTTCTTTCACATTTATGTCGTGCCTTTTCGACGATGGCCACTCACAGGAACTGTTAGTGGTGATCCAGGCCTGCTGCAGAACACTCTGCGTTAACCTATGCTTCTAAACCTCACTTTCATAGGAAAACACTTGCGAAGCAAGAGCAAGCCTAACCCTCATTATGAGCACGCACTTCAATTAGGGATCCACTTTCAAACACATAGTAAAGATTATGCTAGCGGAAACTCTCGACCATTTCTCAAGGATCATGTAGCCATCGTGTCTGTTCTACTTTCATAAAAGCATTCAGAAGTTATGAAAGTCTTATCCGACATTACGAGTCTAATAGACATGTACGTAGTGGCTCATGATTTCAAGTTCTGTATGCACACTCATGACCGTATTCTCTGCTCACTATCACTTGTCAACTTTCAGCTGCATACTCCTGAATTTAAAGATTCCTCTTCTAAGCAGTAATGCAGTGAGTTTGAGACGCCTACAAAGCTCTGTTTTTCATTCGATCTAGTGAGTGATTGCAAGAAAATGGCCTCGTTCGGACTTCCTCTACTCTTTGCTCCTAATCTTACTAAATTCTTTGTTTCGAATACTTTGCGCGTGATTACCAAACTGCTTATGACGTGATGAAGGTCACCATACCGTGAATGCACAATGTATGGGAAGGGCAAAGAAGCTGTAACCGTGGTTGTATGGTTTTGAAAGAAAGCGAATCACCTCAGGCATATAAAAGGCCACCAAGGGCGGTAAAATCAACATACAATGGTTTTCCCGTCTTCAAGAAAAACACTTCGCAAAGTGCAAAACCACATCCCTCATAAAACCCGATCCACGGTCTCATACCTATGAAGCGTCAAGCTTACCACTGGTCGGAATGGCAAGAATGTTGCTTCGGCATGAATGCTCGGGTTATGCGCTTGTCCGTGTTAAGCTCTCATCTGGATAAACTCCATGGCTTCCTTCAGGGAATCGCTTTGCAAATTTGGAATGCACATTCGAGCCAGCACCCGAAAATACGTATATGTAATAGCCTAAGTCTCATTTCATATAGCCACTTCGACTTGGGACCTTTCCCTTAATTTTCTTGTTTTCTTTGAAACACTGCACTATTCTGCAACAACACTTCCGTTACTCCAGCCATTGTATGCAGAGCCATTTTTTCGCCAAATATTTCTGCTGAACAGTTTTGCCGCCTTAGAGGGGAATCTCAAATTGTTCTTAAGTGCGCTATTGAGCGATTGCGCTAAATCAAAAGAAAAAATCTTGGAACTGAATTCGTAACTGCATGAGTGGAAGCCGTCATACACCAACTGAGGAACTGGATCTCCTTTTTATTTAGTCGGGTGGCATTTTCTCCCAGGGTATTCTGGTGTACTGTAGAGTTCTTCTACACTGTCCTCTATCAGAGTCATGTCATCGACGTAAAGCTTTTTATGCATGAGTGTTGTGACGACATCCAGTGTCAGTGGGAAGAGGAAAGGGATTAGCACGAGCAAGAGGCAACTATTTGTGTGTGATCGCATAGTAGTGAACCAGAAGGCGCCATTAATCTTGTCTATCGCGTATCGTTCGATCCATGATTACTTAAGGATAAAGGATAAAGTTTTTGGCGTTAATCAATCCCGTCTGAGAGATGCGCCCCCGCACTACACTTCCATTCAGAATCGTAATGGCGTAATGTGTGCGTATGTGGCCTATACAATGACTTGCGGTGGCCAGCCGATGTACAAGTCAGTGCTTTTATCCTCCCAGACGAGTCTGGTACCAATTCACCGACCCCGGAGGTATGGAAGGCTTGGTTGCCCTAGGCGGGCATTGATCCGGGATTCGAACCCCTGGCCGTGCGTGTGATATAGCGCGCCACTTCCCACTACACCACCTCCGCCCCATGATTACTTACTTCCAACAAAGACGTCAAATGCTCATTAACTAAGCTATTGATCTATCAACAATTCTCTTTTCCTTCCATCTGTTCTACAATCCTGCATCATCAGGAGTGCAATATGCTTTCGCAGTTGAAGGGCAAATTTTTCTCAAACTTTTCAGACACCCTAATATTTTCGCTGTAACTGGAATACCCCGCCAATCTTTCCATCCATCAACCTGAGCCCGTAGCTGGTATCAAAAGCAATTGTTGGCTTTCTCGTAGAGTCTCGATTTTTCCTCAACGAGAATCAGTTCCGTGGGCTCTCGTAAGCAGACATGAACCCAAACTCTTACCAGCTCGACTATCCCTGCCGTTATTAGAATGCAACAACAGCTACGATCTGAGATTCTCGATTGAAAGGGCGAAGGAAGGCCTTGTACGAGTCACTGGTAGGTGCGCTTATACAAAAAAGACGAAACATTGTAAACTCATTCAAAGCCAGTGCCTTCCGAATATTGTTGCGAATCTCGAATTTTGAGAATTTCCATAACATTCCGAACATATTTGGTTCACGAAGTCATAATCTCATGAGCTAACAACCAACACTTTCAATAGGAATGTACGATGTAGGAATCGTTCTATGGATCTTTTGCTTCGCAGTAAAGCCACTTGTCACTGTTCCATTTTTCCCTGCGCACAACTGCATAAGAATTGGACAAGCAAACCATAAACCTTTAAACGGATCAAGTTGGAAACCAAAATCAGTCCCTTCTTTTCTCAGGAAGGAAGAAGATATCGGCCAATTGAAGACGCGTGCCGCTAACGACGCAAATCTGATCGCTAAACTCAAGGCAAACATACGGCGGCTCATCGACCGCATTCAGGAGCTCGAAGATGATTTAGACTTGGAGAAGAAGTCTAGGTGTAAGGTGGGTAATTCACTGATCCTTCGTTTCTCTTATTGGGATAATGCAGTCAAGGGTATTAGCATTAAAATCGTCTTTGAACAGTGACGGTATATGTATGTAATTTGCTACAGCCTTTCCAAGGTTAAGAGAAAGTCGATCGTGGTGTATTCTATATAGTGACGGTATAGTTAACCAGTAACCAGTGCACATGCAGTAAATATTCTGAATGGGGCATCGATCCCAACCATATGTACTACAATCTCTAACTGAAACGCTACCAATCTTCAAACGAGTACATCTCAATTGCTGTGCACTGCAATCCTTCCTGTGCAGGCTGATCACCAACGCATCGAAATGCAAACGGAACTGGAAGCACTGCAATGCCAGATGGAAGAGGTCACCGGTCAGCTCACCGTCCAGGTGCACATCAACAGGATTCACGCCGAAGAGGTGAGCGTCACTGATTCTCGGACAGAGATATATCCAACGTTATCTTTTTTCCGTTTATTCAGCAAGGTTCTGTTACGTGACTTGAACAAGCAACTTTTCTAATTTATCGTTCTCTATTACCTCAATTTCACTTTACTCGGAATCCCGGGCGAAAATTGTATATCCTTGAATGTATGTATGTATGTGTGTATGTATGCATGTAGCTAGTCGAATGGTTTACACATTTGGACAGCTCGTCCAGCTATTCTTGCCTCCAACTTTCGTCGTCACAGTCTCGTCCGACCCCACAATTTCGCTACTTTTTTGAAGCCTATCGTGAACTCTATTATTAAGGCATTGATCTCAAATAAGAGCATGGTTTCTAGGTCCGTTGTGCTGGGTACCCTTGAGTTTCTAGTTTTGCGTTCATTTTGCTATAGATCAGATACAAACTCAGGGAATATACAGCTCTTGAACCAATCTTGTTACTTTTCAAGTGAATAATTTCCTCCGAAATTTTTTCTTCGCACACGTAGAAGTTCTTTTTTCAAAATCCAAAGTTTGCAGGCTCGCATGTCATTTTTCGATACTCTTCTCTATTTTTTCTTGAATCTTGAATAATTGTCTCACGATTACCTATCAGCATTTTCAGTTGGCAAATTTACAACGAGAAATCGAACTGAAAAACATAAGTCGCCAATCGTATATCGCTGACATCTGCTCAATGCAATATTCGACAGTTAACAATTTGAGAACACTCAGTAAGCAGGTAAGATTATAGAGGTTCCAGGAGGTCGTCACTGCTTGACGATGATTTCAAATTGAGCTATTGTTCAGTTATCAGCGCTATAAAAAGAGCACCCACCAGGAATGATTCCGCCACTTCGAATAACGTCGGTTGACCTTTCTGCGACTACATGACCAGCTAATCACTTCTCTCCATTCTCCAGAAACCTTGAATCAAAACTAATCGGCTACAGTTCGACGCCGTCACTAAGCGCCCTTATTAAGGATAAGCGGCGCTAGTTTCGGAGACCGAGTGTTAAGTTTCAGACCTTTGGTAGAAAGCTTTCCATTCAGGCGGGACACCCATTTGATAAAAAGGATGTCTGTAATTACCTTTGAATGAAAGCGGGAAAGGGGTAACGAACTTGTTTCATGGAAGAAGCTTCGAAATGTATTGCAGGATGATCGCTGTGTGAATGAAAGCATAAAGTTTAGCAAAACGTCAAACCCTTCCTATCGAGCAAAGCTTCCCATCTATAATAGGGGGCCGTAACCGTCTTAGATGTAACCACCTATCTGTTCAGAGTCCCCCATAATCTGAATAACTTGATTCAGGCTGCTAATCTGGAATCGGAAGCGGGCCGTGTTCTATCTGCTCGCCATTCGATACAGAACCTGGCAGGGGTGCCGCGTGTCTACCTGGACTCGGCCGATTCGGAGGATGAAGAAAGCTCGATCTAATGTTCTCGGCTTAATCGCCGACTACTCTATCTATTGACATAATTAGCCAAGCCATATGTTCATGCTTGAAAAATTTCGCAATCAATATCACCGTACTTTCTCTGTATGTTTTACCTCATCATATTGTAATCTATTGTCTCTTATTTGAAATGATTGGACCAACTAGTAGCAGCGAAAATATTAGATGCAGGATTTTTACATTTTAACATAAAGTAATCATAATTGGGAGAATAAAGAAGATTTACTGAGAATTAGTTGTTCTTTTACGTTTTTGAGCGCGTGTTCCAGGACGAGTGATTTTTGGCGCAATGTTAGGTGCATGGCGCATAGGAGAGCCAGCTTTATTAATGCCCCTCATGTACTGGAGTATCGTAGTCACAGTGGCGAAAAACCTAGGACGATTAAGAAAAGACATACTACTCTGTTGTAATGGGCGAAGAGAGAGTGAGTGATGAGCCTGAGCCTGAAATATGGCGAACGCAAGTGTTGGTCACAATGAGCGAATAAATCGGTAAAATAGCGAGAGACGGACCTAATTGCGGTGGTTACTGATTCCGAAAATCCGCTGAGGACCAATTTTGTAATTCATCTCTTCATAAGCTCTCCTTTGTAATTATTTTAATTATTTAGAGCAGGGGTAAATGAAGCAGAAACGTGGTTCAGTCACTCGTGCCGCCTAATGAGTTTGTTGGTCATTCTTGCCCTCTCAGATGAACGTGCTAGGAAAGAATCTAGTGCGAAGAGGTAAAGACCTTGTGTGTTCCATAAATATTCCCAAGACATTGGCATTTGGTCCTACTTCGCCCCCGATGTTCACCTTAGAAAAGCGAGAATAATCATCCTTGGATTCGTGGATTCCTACGAGAGCGAATTCCCTTCTAACTGCACTTCGGAGTTTAGCCCAGGTTACTTTTCAAAGCAGTCAGTTACGTAACATCGTAGGCTATGTATCACTGTCATCAATCTGTAAACAAAGCCCACTAATAGCTCTCACGAGGCGCTGGGGCGGAGTAGCTCGCTGTCGAGCCGCGGCCAACGGCTGGCTGGCAAACTTCACTGACAGAACCGTCTTCGTCATACTCCTCCTGCCAGCTACCGTAATCCAGGCATCTGAGGCTTTTTCTTGATTTGAGTGTTGTTGTATTGATCATCGTTTCAAAGTTCTATAAATTTATTGATCTCTCATCAGCTATAAAAGAATTTGCAATTTCTATGGACTGATCTCTGCGATGGGATTTAACAGCCATTTGAGGACTGCACTTTGCAATTTCCGAGTTCTCTCAATAAATTGGGTAATCAGACATCTTTCTGAACACCGTTACTGCTATTGAAGTGAAATGGTTTGAAGACAATTTCGTACTAGCTGTTAACGCCATTTAGTTGTAGAGGAGACGTCTGTTTATGTTTGGAAATATACGAATTCTTTGGCATTCCTTTCCTATATCTGTCAACGGACAGGCTCCCCAGAAGTTCCTCATAGGAGATTTTGTTTCTGTTGAAAAATAAAAATGAGGCCTTTCAAAGTGTTTCGATTGCTAACCTAACAACGACTGCCCTAGCGACATCTAGTGTGCTCAGCTCAATCTGTTAATCGTTCTTGATACCGGCCCATTTCTGAGTTCGGTTCCCCATTGGGGTGTGTTAGGAACGACCAACAGGAAGACTTCACGGCAACAGATTTTCTGAATAGTTGCAGCATTCTGAGTTACAAACGTCCCTTTACTCTAAAGGCGGTAGGTGACACTGGCATCATCCACTACTGACTGGGTTAAATGTTGGCTCGACCTGCCTGACTTTCCATTCCCTCGTCTAGGACCATTGTCACTTCCGTCTGGCGGGACACACTGGACTGTACATCTCTCAGCTTGATGGAACCCAGAAAAGGATTGTTCTTCGCCGATTGTCTTTTCCCCTTTCTAGAAGCAACGCTTTGCCGGCTTTTTCCAACAGTAATCCAATGAGTTCACTTGAATTAAATATTATTCATGATAAAAGAAAGCGCAGTTATTCATTCATTACATGCATTGAACAAGTATGCCTTTGTGAGTCTGTCTGCCTGTCTGTAACGAAGTTCTTCCCCCACTTGGGTTGAAGGCTGGCGTATATAATGTATAATAGTGAAGTCTGATCCAATAAGTTGAAAAGGGGTATATGAACCCCCTGTCCTACAGGCCTTCCTGTCAAGAATTTTTCTGGTTGGTCATTTCGTTAATTTTGCTTCTCTCGCCTCTTAATCTCTCTTGTAATGCAGAACCAGCGGCTCGAGCTTTCCTTTGTAGCGCGCCTTTTGAGCGCATTCAATAAATAAATAAATAAATAATAATAATATTACCAATATAATATAATATAATATAATAATATGCATAACCAATGGGGGTAGAGGTGGTGGCGTGGAAATTTCGCTACAGTCATTCGATCGATGTCTTTCTGATTTTTATCTCTTCCTGAGTTCATGCAGTATTGGTGGAGCAAAGAGTGGTTGTACATGATAGAAACTGAACTCTTGATCTCTTGATTGTCAGGACACACAAAATACTCAGCCATCCAAAGTACGAATGTGGGAAACTTTTCCTAAAGTCGTCTGCCCATCTCACCATTTGATGACCGAATTGCATTGTTCGTCACCAGAGCCAGGTTCTCTGATTTCGTTAAAAAAATTGTCACTTTTCCAGAACTCAATGGCTCCCAAACGGAAAAATCCACGAAAACCGGTCAAAAACGAGGAGGACAATCTACTGCAGCGAGTATGTGCCAACAAACGTGAGCGACAACGAACAAAGGTACGGCAAAATCCACCTGGTAATCGAAAACTATCATATAGCACCCACTTCTCAAGTGGCCACTGTTATTTCAGCAAATTAACAGGATTATCATTTATTGCTGGGCGGAGGTAGTGTAGTGGAAAGAGGCGCACAATTGCACACGTCCGGCCCATGTTTGGGGGATCGGAAGCCGGTTTAACACTCTCTCATGCCCTAGAGCCTTCCAACCACTCAGCGTCGGTTGAAGGTCACCCTCCTCGTGTGGGGGAATGAAAGCGAAATGTTGCTGGCTGACCACTTGAAGTCACCGTACAAGCCAGATGAACATTCGAAACGTCATCGAGACTCTGAACGGATATCATTTGCGCAGGTGTATACCGAAACAGGGTTGATTAATGCCGAAGGCTATGACCTTCCCTTTACTTCATCAATGATTGTTGAACGTCTCCGCTCATGGCCCGTCAAATTTACAGTAATCCATATCATGAATGGCTTGGCTGAAGCGTAAAAAAAGTCACCTCAGAAAAGAATTAGTGGTGAGAACCCGTGAAGATTGACCAAGCAGGTGAATAACTCTGCTGGCCCAATGTAACTATCTAATACCAGAGGCAAAATTCCCGCGCATGGCTACGGTAGACAGCTGTTGGCTTACGTGAGAGACCACAGCGGCAGACGGTTGAGAGTTTACGACTGCCGATGACTGGTTGTAAAGGCGGCGCCTGAGAAAAAGCCCATTAGTAGCGAGGTTTGTGAGAATCCTCAGATCCCACTTACATCTCGAAATTATCGTTAGTGAAAACCAGGGATGGTTCTCTACAACGAAATGATGATTGGGTGGAGAGGTTATGCTCATTAGCTCATTACGAGGAGACATGGAAAGCTGAAGTGGCACTTGGTAGAGAACGCTTTAATGCTNCGTTCCGGACGGAACATAGACGATCATATCAAACAGGTCCCTGCCCCGAAATGCACCTTTTTCAGGAACTCAACGATGCGTTCTCGATTCTTCGAAAGATCATTCCATCAATGCCTTCCGATAAAATGAGCAAAATCCACACACTGCGGATCGCATCCGACTATATAAGGTTTCTGGACCAAGTGAGTTTTGCTGAAGTTCCGAAGTTCTGGAGAGTTTACTGAAATTCCGGAGGTTGACATGGGCTGCGTGACTTTCGATTATTGATTGACACAAGTATCCACCACTTAGACTGAGAGTTGAGTCACGTGGAACGGCTCCATCACATATCCATGCACTCTTAAATATCACTCCCCTCAGACATTCGAAAATCTCCAGAGAGCAGAGACTGCGGTAGAGAAGGGAAGGAGGAAAGAGTGCATGTATGGGTGTATACATCTCTCAAACAAAAAACTTTTCAATGCATATAGTATCATGTGACTCGTTTACCTCTTTCAACTATTATGCGATCTCCCCATCTCTAATAGGATAGGCATGACCCTCTCTGCCGCAGACTTTACGATATATCTAGGGTCGGTGCATATAGTATTTGTAAGATTATCATCAACAACGAGGTACACTGAGATACGGTTAAGCAAAATGTAGTGTTTTCTCGGGTGATGATCTTGCGCATTACCTGTCGTCCAGTTGAACATCGATTTCCTCGAGCGATCGCCAGTAACGTCTTCATTCGACCCCGTCGCGAGCCAGTCTAATGAGTAGTCTAACGGGTCGTGCCCGCTCGAGGGGCACTGGGCAAAGCATTTGTTTCGTTCGGAGCTTTTGAGTGATGATAGTTCGACCTTACTCCTTGGAACCAATTTAGTATTGACAGTTTGTGGGGTGCTCGCTTTAATTCACATTCAAATAGTCGCTAATGCTCATCAAATATTGTCCAACTACCCTATTTAAACACTATGTATGACCCAACATATTTACATAATTTCACTGAATGAGCGCCAACGTTACGTGAGCCTGTCTTGAGACCTCGAACCTTGCTTGATTTAGTGGGTTTTAAAACAGGCGGACATGCATCGACTGACGAATCACATCTATCACTTGAAACAATTTAGTCTTGGACACTCCTTAGTTTCATGAATTTACTAGCCTATTCATGGTTCAGGAATTCCTAGACCATGAACAGCGCCTAAGAATCAGCTCGTAGAAGTTGTCGATAGTGAAGTAAGTATTCCAACCCGCGTAGGCGCACGATTCAGAAACATTTAGAAGGTGCACTGCTGTTTCCATGTTTTTCGTGTTTGCTACCTTTTTCGGAGGCAGCGTTGGTTGTCTACCATATCAGCATCTTCCTACTATCATTGCGGCTTCACTTACATATGGCTCTCAATAGGTTAATAAAGAGTAAGAAGCAAGCGTGGTCGATCTACAAGTAATTTCAGATGAAGCGAGATGATTGCAAATTATTCGGCGTCGATATCTTCGATGAGAAAGGTGGCTATGGACTTCAGACATCTTTCAACATCTGGAGAGGGAGTCATGGTTTGACGCAGAGCAGTCCTATGAGTACGTCACTCACTGACATCTTACTTTATGACCCTTAATTTGACATCTTATAAACTGCCTCTCTCTGAAGAATTTCAAAATCTAAAGGATAAAAGATGAGGTCTTGGGGCGTTGATCAATCTCGTTAGAGGAGTGCGCCCACGCATTCGGCTTCCACTCAAATCGTGCTAGTGGCGTATTGAATGCGTATGTTACCTACACAATGGATTGCGGTAGCTAGCCGATGTACAAGTCGCTGCTTTTACCCACCCAGACAAGTCTGGTACCTATTAAACGACCTCGGAGGAGTGGAAAGTTTGGTTGGCCTGGGCGGATATCGATTTGAACCCGTGACCATGCATTTGTGAAGTGCGCCACTTGCCACGACACACTAAGTTTGAAGTATTCATCACTATTACCCTAAAGATTTCGAAAGGGGTGGCGGACTTCGCGGTTTCATTCCCACGGTCACAGGCACGCACGAGCAGTGGTTTTGCGGCAACTACCGTAACCATTAACTAGGAATTCAAATCATACCCCCTACCGTGCGCATTCCATATCGCCGCTTGTGTGGCGAGCTTGACTTTTCATCAAAGGAGTTACGATAGCATAAGGAGTTTAACTGATGTGACTGTTCAGTGTACTCAGTGATTAAGAATCCAAGAAAAGAATTTTCCGTTCAGGTGGCAGTAGTCTTATGAGTCCGATGGGAATTCCTGCATCAATGCCATGTCCAATACCACATATGAATTACTACGTGGGTAGTTATGTCATGAAACCAGGTTAGTGACTACAATTATAACAAAATGAGTATTTTATCGTTTTTAGGAAAGAATCAAAGACTTCCACAATAGGTGGCGCTCATGCATTCTTCACTGTCACCGGTTTATCCGCATTCTTTAATGCTAATTTTATTTCAATTATTAGCTAACAATAAGAGCTTTGATGGAAAAATATTGATCGATTCTGTTGATTCCCTAACTTCTGTAGTTCAACAATGGGAATACACACCATTCTCTTTTTACAACTTCTACCCACATAAGATATGTAGGACGTGCATCAAGCTTGCTGAAAAATTTCGTCGGTCTCCGTTGATATTTCGCCAAAAGAACGTCTGTGCTAATGACGTTCCAGAAGAATGACGAGATAGAAATTTCTGTCATCATACTCTCATTGCATATAAGACATACAGCCCTGAGTCGACAGTCTATCGCCTTACGGGATAGATGGGTTGTATGAGCTGGAGGGCTTTATGCCTGGGTACATATTGAACTCGAAGAAGCCTACTGAGGGCGTACGTAGACATGCGATGTGCCTACTAAGAGAAGGGAGAAAGGCGTTTTCTAGAGTATAAGCTGCGAGAATCCGTATGACTTCGAGTGCATCGCATGCAAAGAGTTTTAGGCGTAGAGAACCATTCCGAAGAACATCGGAGAATGACTTCCAACCGAGAATGGTTTTGCTCTTAATGCGGTGAAATTTGAGATGAATCGTTCTCCTTCAGCCTCTGAGCGAGGGTGTTAAAAACTAAATCAACGCGTTGTGTCTGCGCTTAGACATTTTTAATGCAGCTAATATCCAGGACTCCTCAGGGTTCATTAATAATGAAGGATTAGGGTAACACGGTAATACGCCAATCCACACATGCTTGACCATCTAACAGGTCTGACTGGGACTTGATTGGGAGATCTTCTGATCCAAGCTTCAATCATCTATGAGCCGCTCGACCGGCAACCTATTTCCAACGCCTTCAACGACGATATGTGAGTTCATGTCCTCGGTACCGTGCAGAGCAGAACACAAAGCATATCTTCCTAATCTTCACCTGGAGATTTCCACTCGTTTTATTCTCACGAAATCCTTGCTCACTATGGTATTCAGTTCACATGAATTCCTTGTATAGCATTTCGCTGTCAAAGGGCCATCCATCCTATGAGCGTGACCAACGAAATTCAGTGGAAGATGGCGATAGTTTTACGAACGCTACTCAGAAAATGGTATTCTCCAACCGAACCTCAACCAAAGAGCACACTATTCTACTGAGCGCCTTCCTTTGACCCTTACTCATGTTCAGAAGACGTAGGAATTTTTAAAAGTTGCCTGACAGACTTTTGGGAGTCAATCAATAAATCCTCATCTGAGGTTCTATATGCCTGACACAAGAATTATGGACTTGAATTATGGACCATGAAAATTGATAGATTCAAGTGGTCATAACCACACTTCCGACCCTTCACTTCCAGACGAAACGTTATGGTAACCATACTGTAGCGACACTTCACAACTGAATCACCCCCACCCCTAAACCCTTTCAAAGTCCTATCGATTCCAAGGTGCTTATATGGTTGTTTTTGTAAGCTGTTCCAAATACCAACTGGCCGCTAAACTCTTTGGGTCAGCTTGCCCGCTGCAATTACGACCTTTACGGGCGATAGCATCAAAGAATGTCATCTTGTCATTTGATACCCAACATCAGTTTGAAGTGTTATAAGCAATATACAAATACTATACTCGACCTATCGCTAATCATAGCTCCCAGCGTAGGGCAATGAGGGAAAGATTTTACTCATCGTAGGCCTGAAAGATATTGTGCCGATTTGAGGAAGACGTAATCTTCAATGAATGTACTCCATGAATGCCTGTGAATGGTTATAGGATGAATACTTATTCGCGTGGTTTCTATTTTCCCACAACTCCCTTTAGCGGGGATTTCTTTTTCTTTTCGGGCCCTATCGATTACTAGATATTCAGTCGTTACTTTGAGTATGTAAATAACTTCAATGGTCACCATGTCTTCTTATCCACTGTTGCCGATGGCCGTTGTCCTCATTGGAAATATCTGTATCTTACCATAGCAGAACTAAATGTGGATCACACCATATGCTCAGCAACTTTCTTTCCTTTCCCCATTTGGACCATCAATCCTGCAACTTTGTAAAAAGTACCGTTCTTTAAATTTCGCAAACTCATGCTTTCCAAGTTCATATGTTGCGCGAGATCGAAATCTCGCTCGAAACTCACCATTCTTATGAGGTTTTCACGTCGCGTGCTAAGGAGTAGCACTACTTGATGGCACAGTTTACGATGGATTTGAGGTACCCTTTTTGAAATAGTGCGTCAGTGGCGAAAAAAGCGGGAAAATTCGCCGATTTTCCGAAAAATCTTCTGAAGCGTAGTGAAAATAGAAGTCGTACGTGATTACCATGACGGAAATAGCACGGGAAGGGTATCCGGACGAAATTTCAGCTGTTGCGATTGCGCAAGGGCTGACTAAATAAAAACAAAACTGTCCAGAATTGCCTTTCACTGTCATTGTGGGTCACCCTTGTGTGCGATGCATCCTCTACACTGTCTTGAAACTCGTCCACGCATACAAACGGGCCAATCTTTGAGCCTTGATAACGCGCTACCGGGGCTGTTTCCCCATCTGACAGATTCACATATGGTATACGAGGGGGCCGAGATTTTTCCTGGCCGGATACCCCATAGGCAAGACTATTTCTATCGTGAACCGTGGCTTCAACGAGCAACATCCAAGCCCATTTCAAATCAGTTCTACATTTCAGAGTATATGGAAGCCGGGGTGAGTTCCAGTGAATTACCGCAATGGCAGCAATGATATCAGCCCCGATGGATATCACCTGCACTCACTACCAGATCGGTGTTTTGATTGATTTACCGATTGATTTACCATTTTATTTCAGATGTCTTCGAATTCACTCATTTGAATTTGATTTTTTTATTAATTTTATTTTTTGTCAAACAGGAATTCTCTTTACAATGTCCATAGTATTTGTGCCTTCTCATTGGTTGCTCAGGTCTTGCCTTACAATACGTATAACTACGGTCCGTCTCGTCTATTCAATAAGAAACTATTGTTGTGCTTATCAAGTGTAATATCATTATTTTCGACTTATTAGGTATCATTACGAGTAAAGTTACCTTCACTCTTCCGATTTATTTGAAAAATAAAAATTGGTGATCAATTCAAATTGAGATGGCCCATAAGGTCTCTGCTCTCTGCATTATATCGGAAGTCAGTGGAGAATGTTTAGGAGACCTTCGATAGCGTGGTATGCTTGTTGGGTGGATTGGATGCGTCTAATCAGAATGGGTGGAGGAGACAGTCCTGCTTTCCATTTGAACGGACAATATCAAAAGGGATAGCAACTTCCTGACAACACTCAAAGCGTTGGGAAGCGTGCGGACTCGTATCGGAATTGAACGCGCAAGTATGTAGGGAGGAAAACCCACTGCTGGAGCGCTGATTTGCGCTTACTATAGCCGCTCTTTAGGAGTAAAATGTTTCTCGTTTCCCTAAAGATGACACCTTTATTCGCGCTTGAGGATTCATCGGGTCCTAAGAGTATCCAACAGTTCCCCAGAGATTCAACGATTATTCCGAGTGGACATGCTCAAGGGCGACAAATAAACGTCCCCTCCACATCTCGGGATAGTCGTGCTAGCCTCGTATCAGTATCGATGAAGTCTATTCGCCAGATTTAGCCCTGAATCGTGACGTGGTTCGTTTTGGATGAAAGGAACTCGTCTGATTCACCAATCAAAACCCAGGTCTTCGCGGACTCTACAGCACCTCTTCTTGACTGATTGTTGGGGAAGATTCAAGCAGAAATTTGGTCTAAAGTGGTCTGGTGCCGTACTACTTGCACGGCACAGTCAACAATTTCTTTTCAAACACATTTCCTCCAGTGATTTATTTGATTTGGAAGAGGGGTTTGACGTGAATGAGTTTAACAAGACAGCTACTTCTTCAGCCAAGTTATTTTCGTGATACGGACGGCTCTAGCAAGTCATCGAAAGTCATAATCCGTGAGAAGCAATTTATCGTGGATCGTTTCTTTTACAGCCGAGCACATATTGCGTCCAGATGTTCAGTCGCTGCTAGCAGAGGCATCAGCGGCGAAGTCTCCTTGGATAAACGGAAAGAGCGATTAGGGAGCCGGCGACTCTCATGTGACTGGGAGAGTGGATTAAGGGAAAGGAACCAGATCGCTTCGCCCTTCAGAATTTAAATAGATCCTCATCACTGTCGATTGTTCCAGATCAAGAAACAGCCCAAATGATTCCTTTGAGAGCTTTGAAATCTGCCCCAGATCGCTTACAATCGACTTAGCTTGCCTTCTATTTTTTTCCTTACTTGTGAGGACTTAGTTTCCCATTCATAGTGTAAGGGAGATCAATAAGCAGACATGAGTGCAGGATCTTCGAACAATTCATTCGCTTATCTACTCACATCTTGAGAACCAACTGGTTGAGTTGAAGCTAGCCATAACCGGTACGCCGAGGGAGCGGGCGACTCCCTCTCTGGTCCTGCACTTCTTTTTGAGACAAAACTAGGCCGAATTAGCAGGGCTGTTAAAACACAGGTCACTTGGACCCTCGAAATTCCTTGAGACGACTGAGTATCATTTTGGCCGGAACGAACACCGAGTGGGTAAAATAAAACATAATAAAAGGGAAACCCAAAAATATAAAACATAAAAATACAATATTATCCGCTGCTCTGCCGTGCAGATAGGTTAGGGTAGAACGCTTTATTTGATCGACGTTTCTACCTAACATTCGTCTTTAGGGATCTGAAAGTGGTAGAAGTTTCTTACTTGTGTCTCATAGCGCCTAAATACACAGCCCATTCACATCAACTCCCAGAAGCTCGAACGCAAAATTCACAACTAAAAATCAGAACAGTCACTGTCACTCGTGCGAAGAAGCTTCCCTTGCAGATTGCTGAACAATGTCAGTAATGCTTAGAATTCCTCAGCCTCCAGAAAATAGGCGTTTGCACTTGCACGACGTCAAAATAGCAGGCAATTTCATGAGCGATGGGTAGCTAGTCGGCGTCCATTTAAAAGCCATTCGCATTACCGTAGCCGCCTGTTAGGCCGTCATCACTCAATCATCAGCACGGAT